AAGTTTGGAAACCACTGGATTAAATGATCACAAATTGTAACAAGACAAATTTTATTTTTAAGAAATTAAATGCAAATATTTACCGCAGCATCACAATGCAAAATATTGTTGCAGTTTTTTTTTAATTGTAGACCTGTGTTTCTCATGCTTTTAGCCTCACGACCCAACATATTTGTTTTTACTCGTAGTGCGTGCCAATTGCTAAGAACATTTCACTAGTTTCTCACTTCAATGACGGCTGTCATTTCGCTTCTTATTAAAATTTGTAATGCGGCCCAATTTTGAGTCGCGACCCATAGTTTGAAAAACTCTACATGAACATTCTTACTCTTCTAAGAATTTCAACTTGTTCTCATGACATTACTACTTTATAAATAAATAAATCAAATTATGTATTAAAAATAAATTTTCAATAGAAATCTTGATATAAAATGAGAAAATATATTTCAATAGTGAATGTAAAACAATGTGATATTTCAATAGTAATGTAGTGTTATATTCATATTAATCATTTACTGGAAAACGAAATGCCATTGAGAAGAATACATTAATTGTTTAAAGGTGAAAGTGTATATTGTTTACAAATTTAAATATTTTCAATGAGAATCTTCTCTATCAATACAAATCTGATTTGATCTATTAAATTTTACAACTAATTTTTATCACAAATAGTTAATTATTTCAGAACGTTCTAATTTATAAGAAATTTAAACAATTCTTATTAATTATTTTCATCAATTATTTAATAATAATTAACAGAAGTACTTAAGCTTTTTCTTATATTATAAAGCATTTTCAAAGAATAGTAAAGATGTTTTTTTTTTATATATAAATAATGAAATAAACATAAATTTCAATTTCTTTCTTTTGTAATTTATTACTTTTCTTTCGATCTATAAATAATTGGCAAGGATTTATTTAATGCGACTTTGCCGGTTTTTTTTTAAAGAATGATTTACAAAAAAATGATTCGTTAATCTCATAAAATTGTACAGAGACAAGAAACCGTGTGATGAAATGATAGAAGTTATCTTTGACCTCCAGACATCTGTACACCTCCTGCCACTCGAATGTTATTTATGTTTCGTCTATAATAGCTCAGTCTTATTATCATATTTGCATAATTGCAATTATTAGGCCTATCGAATCATCTGCTACATTTGATTCAGATTGCTTTGTTTCTTAATTTAAGTACAAATTCATCAAAAAAAAATAATTGAAACTATTTAAATAGAAAAATCATTGCGAATGATTTATAGTCATAATTTCGTAAGTGAAAATAAAATAATAAACAG